TTTGTTTTCTTTTATTAGGTTTCATCATGCATCATTTCCAATCAAGCTGCCATTCTGTTATATCACTCAAAAGGCATACACATATTATTTAATTGTTTAATTAGTCTTCATAAAATGCTAACTTTGAGTTAAAAAAAAATTGGTTTATGATGTAATTTTCATCAAATTAATTAATTTATTTATATGACAAATAAATCAAAACATTATTTCATTGTTTTAAGTCTTAGTAGTATAATTTAGTGTTTTAATTTGTTTGTTGTTTGCTGTATTTTATAGCATACATGTAATGGTGTAGTTCTGCATGTTTTGTTTTACCACAGTAAATTTGCATCTGTAAAACACTTGCCACGTCATGTGTTGTTTTTAAATGCACTAAATTTGACTAAATTGACTAAATGAAATACTTCAGTTACTTGTAAAGGATTAATTTATTTCCCGAAAAAATTGTGCTGATTATTTACTATTTTTACACTCAACTGATTTTTTTTCTTCAGTCAAAAACAAATGAATGTTGATAAAACAGCATTTTCCCCCATATGAAAGTTCAAGCAACTGAGCACTATAGACTGAGCACTATATTCACTACAAATTGTGTGTTTTTCCTCAAAAACCTTGATTTGTTTCTGACTGAAGTAAGAAGCTAACATCTTGGATGACAAGGGGAGCAAGTAAATGATCCGGATATTCTGATTCTGGAAGTGAGCTAATCCTTTAGCGTGAATTAAAGCAGATATGGTTGAGAAGAGCTCGTGTAGCCCAGAGCAGAATGAAACCTTGAGCTGACAGGAATCTTAATGTGCTCCTGATCAAGGTGACTTCAGAGTTTATAAGTGGAATATGAAGTGTCAGAGCATTGTGTTAATGAATGCCAGCCATAAACGTCTCTGCTTCTGCATGTTCCCGGCTGGACAGATGTGGTGTTGTTTGTGTCTGAGGAGATTGTATTAGACTAAAAGGTGTTTGTGCTTTTATTAGAATTGATTTATTTAGTCAGGATTAGAGACTGGAGGACAGAATGGTGAGCGGAGGGACAGACTCTTGATGATTTGGACTAAGAGATGTTGAAAGCATCCAAATCATTATCAGGTTATGTTGTATAGAGATGTCTACAGAGCAGTGCTGACGCTGTCAACAAGCATATTCTTTTATGACTTCCTGTCTTGTAACCGATTAGATACATTTAGTAAAATAATTATTAGGATATATTGCCGGGATATTATATCATTACTGGTGAACAACCATTTCCACATTCCTCTGTTTAAAACGTGTAATCAGACGCCTGCTGTATGGTCACAGATCTGTTAGTGTGGTCTCAGACCTGCTGCTGCTCTGCAGGAGGACATCATGAAATCAGTCGGTTGTGTCACACTCGCAGGTTTAACAGATGGATCCACTGATTTATGTGTTCATGTGTCTTCAGTGTGTTTGGCAGAGAGGAAACGGAGCAGTTGGATGCCAGAGTTATTTAAAGGAACACTCCACTTTTTACAAGACCATTTTTAAATCCATTCAGACGATCTCCTGGTCCGGCGAGAGCACCTTTAGCTTAGCATAGATCATTGAATCAGATTAGACTATTAGCATGGGCCGGTCACAAGTCATTTTTGTTGTGCGATATATTGCCATATTATATTGCGATAAGGGTAATTATTGACACTTTAAGACCAATTTATGTCTGTGTTTATATTGATTATACAACAGCATATTGTATATTTTATTTTATTAATTTTTGTTGTATTATTTTATTTTTGTTTAATTTATTTTTATATTTAGTTTTATTTTCTAGAATTTTTTTATTTTGTTTAGTTTTATTAATTTTATATTTAGTTTTATTTTATAGATTTTTTTATTTATTTTATTTAGTTTTATTAGTTTCATATTTAGTTTTATTTTAAATATTTTTTATTTTTTATTTTGTTGTTTTATTGGTTGTATATTTAGTTTTATAGCATTTTTATTTTATTTATTTTATTTTGTTTTATTTGTTTTATATTTAGTTTTATTTTATAGAATCTAAAATTTTTATTTTGTTTTATTTTATAGGTTTTATATTTAATTTTTATAGAATTGTTTTTTGTTTTATTTGTTTTATGTTTAGTTTTATTTTATTGTTTTGTTTTTTTTTTTGTTTTTTTTATTTGAACACAAACACATTCAAGGGACAAAAAATAAATGTTAAAAAGCTTTAATGTAATTTCTGAATCATCACTTTTCTGGAAATGGACCGCAGAGGAAACAAGCTCATTTGAACACCTTCCTCTAAACCTTTTTTCAGGAAAATGTCCAGGAAAAAAATCACTTTTTCTTCACCTTTAAGGCTGATTTATACTTCTGCGTCAAGTGCACGCGTATGCTCCGGCGCAGCTTTCACGCCGAACGTAGACCCCTTGCCATGGCTGACGCTGATGCTGACGCGCACCTTTAAAAAATGTAACCACACATTGCAACGACGTGTAGCGCAAGCTCTGTGATTGGTCTAGTCCTGTGAAGGAGCTCCAATTAGAATCTTTTGTTTTGTTTACCTTATGATTAAAGTTGTTGCACGTTCGCCAGCTTCCGCCTCTGAATAAGTGAGTTTTAGCTACTTGTACGTTAATGGTACAGGACAGTACGTTACTGCTTGGTATGGACCACTTTTATCAGGCTTGCGTTTCCACTGCTAAAATGATACCAATGGTACTCTTTTGGTGGGCATGGTGTACGACAAAGTTTCATTCGACGTAATTCTCACTCGAGAAAATATCTGCAGTATGCAAACTCAACATAGAAACGCCAACTAACCCAGCCGAGGCTTGAACGTGCGAACCACTGCACCTCTGTGCCTCCCCAGACATTGACTTTCATAGTATTTTTTTTTCCTCCTATCGATGCCAATGGCAGCTTCTCCCAATATTCTTCAGAATATCTTGTTTTGTGTTCAACAGAAGAAAAAAATTCATAAACGTTTAGAACCACTTGAGTAGATGATGAGTGAATGTTCATCTCTTTAACTGGTCTAGTAGTTTAGTTGTGCAAAGATCTGTCATTCACAGAGTAATTCTGCAGTCACAGCAATTTTTTTCTCGTTCAGGCTGCACTGACATTAAGCACTAATTATAATCTTTGAAGCCCTCAAATCGAGAGGACTGATGTACCAACTAATTATCTGCAAACTCAGAAACATCACAGCATGCTGCCGTCCTTTACTAACTGAATGAAAATGATTAGAGTTTAAAATGGACATCTTCCTGATTGCCTATGGAGAATAAAGGACTCTCTGCTTGTAGCACATTGGCAGATATTTAGCCAGTTAAGACTCCTGCTGAATATTGTGTTTCTTTTGATGTGATTGTGTAAAAATGAATGTCCAGCAGCATTTACTATGTTAAGTTTTCTCTGTTCTTTTGGGTAAAATCAGGGTTGAGTCTTTAGTCAATCTAAGTATCTAAGTCAGCGCTGTAGGTTTTTAAAGGCATAGTTCACCCAAAAATAAAAACAAAACAAAAAAAGATTTCTCACCCTTCCCTTGTTCTAAACCTATTTGATTTTCTCTCTTCTGTTGAACACAAAAAAGATGTTTTGAAAAATCCTCAACCCAGGCTCATTCTGATTATACATTGACCCATATTTACATTGCTCGAGAGTGCCAAATACATCCCAGGAGCTATGTTTGTTTTTGCAGTTTTTATTTTTGCAAATCCACCAGAGCCCACTGTGTATGCTTTTTCAGATCTCAAATTTCGCTCGCGAGTACCATTCGTGACTGGTGTTCTGACGTAAATCCACCAGAGGCCACTGTGTCAGCTTTTTTCAGATCTCTAATTTCTCTCGCTGATGTCATTTGAGTCTGCTGTTCTCGCGTAAACCTACCAGAGACCACTGTGTCAGCTTTTTTCAAATCTCTAATTTCTCTCACTAATTTCATTTGCTTCTGCTGTTCTCGCGTAAATCTACCAGCGGCTGCTGTGTATGCCTTTTCAGATCTCAAATTTCTCTCGAGAGTGCCATTAACGCCTGCTGTTCTTGCGTAAATCCACCAGAGGCCACTGTGTACGCTCTTTGAGATCTCAAATTTCTTATGCGAGTGCCGTTCCCGCCTGGTGTTCTCGTGTAAATCCACCAGAGGTTGCTGTCAACTGACTGACCAAGTGAACAATCCCCCCCCACCCTCCTCCTTCCCAAAACCCAACCAATAGTGTTTTCAAAAGCACTGATTGACCATCGTCCATGCCTTTCCTTAAACCCAACCGACAGTTGAAAGCAATCCAGAAAAAGAAAAGCCCCCTGATTTTTACCACGTTTTCAGATTTTACCACATTCTCACCCTGTTATTTACTTGTTCATTTTATTTTTGAGCTTTTGTTTTTTTCTAATCTTGCTTTCTGGAACAGTTCTCCACTGGACTCGAACCCCGTTGTCGCTGTCAACTCCGCTCAGCATCTCAATCCGCCGACATGCATTTCGAGCTACCGGACAAACTGGTAACAGCAGGAAATCCGTCTACACTGAGATAAGCAGTCAGCTGGTGAGCAAGAAAAGAAACGGCATCATACCGCCCCGTAGTGCTCATTTTAAAGATGCAATACATAGCGCTAGCTACTTAATTCATGATCTCCAGAAATGGATATAGGGCTGCATTTTTAGAATGAACATATGTTGAATAGATCACATGATCACAAAAGTGGGCACAATGTGACTGAATGAATGGACGATCCATTTGACTGACCACATTGTAAAACATCTAAAAGGTTTTGGTCATTCTAAAATCCCTCAGCCAAAGTCTGTCATCAAAGTGGTTCAGTATTATTACCTCTAGAACTTGAATAAAGTAGACTCCCATGACTTTTCCTACTGCAGCCAATACAATTTCTCTTTTCGATATTTGGCCTGAGTTTATCAGGAAGGGATGAATTTGTTTCTGTTTATTCACTGGAAGTTAATGCAGTTTTGCGCATAAGTTTAAGTTGCATCTTTGGATGGAAAACCTACTTGCAGATTATACTGAAGAAGATTTAACACTGTGTGAATTATTCTGTTTAATAAAGCATACAAAGTGCACAGTCTGTAAACGGGTGACAACATCACCACAAACAAACCAACAGACAAACACACAGCATTTGAAAGGTTGTGTTTTTTTTTTACTCAGGCACTTTGTGTTTGCGTGCGCTCCCTCCATCACCTGGGCATGTATTGGTGTGGCAGGCCGCTGTGGTTTCTGTCCCGCAGGGCTTTATCCACCGTCTGAATGTACTGGTCAATCCGAGCTCTCATCTCTGGGCTGAAGGGGTCAAAGTTCAGGTTATGAGATCCTGAGCGTTTGAAATGTCCGTCTCGGTCACTCTCTATGCACAGAAGCCTCTCTTCTGGGATGCTGATGTTTAGGAAAGCGGTGACTGTTTTTATCTGGGGGACGACATCTTTCTGGAGGTCTTCAAAATGCACCACTAACAAGCGGTGGGCAAAGCGCAGCCAGGCCAGAGCGTGAGACACCCACCAGGACGAGTAGCTGTCCACAAACTCACTCCACTCTGGGGGGGAAAAGAAAAAAGCTGTTTTAGTGGCAGGATGTGAATTACAGGGGGGCTTAGGGAGGATTGGCCTAATTAATTGATCCTCCCCTGAAGGACACCAAAACAAGATGTACATATGAGGGGTTCAGGCCTTTAATAGTGTGAAATAGTTTGCTCTGATCTGTATAATAATGTTAATAATTAAAACGGAGGTAATATAAATATGTATTTGACCGACCCCTATAACAGTTCAGATCACTGTGAATGCAAAATCATGCCAATCAGTCTACACAAGAAAAACATCATTCAATAGTCTGAAACTGGCAGATCTAGAGCAGAGATAGACACAGTGTTCACAAGACACTTCTCTAGTAAAATAACTGTGTTTCTACATATAGCCTAAAAGAAAAGTAAAATTAGGTCCATAGTTTGTATAGTTTGACCTACAGTAGCATCTGAAATGGCTAATCAGAGGATACTGTAGGTCAGAAGAAAACACTAAAAACCCCTAAAACTTCTAAATACATTTTATTCATGAATTAGATGTCATTTAAATAAATCCATAAATCTGTGCTTAGTTGTTTTGGAAAATATAAACAGATGTTCAATATTTAATATACACTCTCCGGCCACTTTATTAGGTACACCTGTCCAACTGCTCATTTACACAAATTTCTAATCAGCCAATCGCATGGCAGAAACTCAATGCATTTGGGCATGTAGACATGATCAAGACAGTCTGCTGAAGTTCAAACCGAGCATCAGAATGGGAAAGAAAGGTGATTTAAGTGACTTTGACCTTTAGTGCATAGTTGTTGGTGCCAGATGGGCTGGTCTGAGTATTTCAGAAACTGCTGGTCTGCTGAGATTGTCACGCACAACCATCTATAGGGTTTATAGAGAATAGTTTGAAAAGACAAAATATCCAGTAAGCGGCAGTTCTGTGGGTGCAAATGCCTTGTTGATGTCAGAGGGGAATGGCCAGACTGGTTCAAGCTAATAGAAAGGCGACAGTAACTCAAATAATGACTTTTTACAACCGAGGTCTGCAGAAGAGCATCTTTGAATGCACAACACGTCCAACCTTGAGGCTGATGGGCTACAGCAGCAGAAGACCACACCTTGTGCCACTCCTGTTAGCCAACAGGAAACTGAGGCTACAATTCACATAGGCTCATCAGAATTGGACAATAGAAGATTGGAAAAACATTGCCTGGTCTAATGAGTCTCGATTTCTGCTTCAACATTTGGATGGTAGGGTCAGAATTTGGCATCAGCAACATTTAACAAACAGCAACAAAAGTATGGATCTATCCTGCATTGTATCAACGGTTCAGGGTGGTGTAATGATGTGGGGATATTTTCTTGGCACACTTTGGGCCCATCAGTACCAACTGAACATCGTGTCAACGCCACAGCCTACCTGAGTATTGTTGCTGACGATGTTCATTCCTTTATGACCACAGTGTACTCATCTTCTGATGGCTACTTCCAGCAGGATAACGCACCATGTCGTAAAGCTTGATTCATCTCAGACTGGTTTCTTGATCATGACAATGAGTTAACTGTACTTAAATGGCCTCCACACTCACCAGATCTCAGTCCAATAGAGCACCTTTGTGATGTGGTGGAATGGGAGATTCACATCATGATTGTGCAGCCGACCAATCGGCAGCAACTGCGTGATGCTATCAAGTCAATATGGACCAAAAGCTCTGAGGAATACAGATACTTGTTGAATTTATGTGACAGAATTAAGGCAGTTCTGAAAGTAAAAGGGAGTGCAACCCAGTACTACAGTAGTAATGTGTACCTAATAAAGTGGCCGATGAGTGTATACTTTCTATGTGAATTTATGTTTTGAGTTTTTACTGCAAATGTCACATCTATTACACTGGAATTGCCCGTATGCACTTTGAAGTGAAGGCTGAAGTGAAGTGACTGGCACCTTTGCTCCTCCAGTGAGCGTGGGATGCGTAGCCCAGGTGTCCTGCACACTTGCGGTTGAACTCTGCCATCAGAGAGCGGTACGGGTTTCGCATCAGCAAGATGGCAGAGTCAAACATCTGGATCTCTCGCTGGCCACTTTCATGAGTCTTGACGCAGACCACTCTCCCGCTCTGCCAGTAATCCTTCTCTCCTTTAAAACCTGCAGAGACCTCACATTTAATTCGCTTTTTACCCACTGCAGATGCATAGAATTAAAAATTAAAGGTGCAGTAGGTGATTGTCTTCAGAAACTTTTTTTGTTGTGCTGGTTGCAAGTCTCTTCACAGTCCAATAGTAATGATTACAGTAAATAATCTAAATGTGTTTATATGTATTTTTATATTTTGGGTAAAGCATAAAATTAAATGTTCATCAAATTAAATATTGTTGGACAGACATCTCCCATAATTCCGATAAGTAGCTCAGACTGTCTGTCAGCAAATGTAGATTCTTCTGCACATCTGTTCACACAGATCCGCCATTCGCGCGTGCCCATCTGCAATCGCCGCATGTTCACGAGACAGACCGGGAGAAATCAAATGCTGAATTGAAACTTTTAAAAACCTGAATCAATATTGGAGTTACTTTAGCACACTGGAGGAAGGACAACATCATGGCTGAAGTACTACTGTTAGACAGGTAATGTTCTGTTTTAAAACTATTTTAGTCAGGCTAAGCATATGTTAGATTGTGTTCTGTTATGAATGATTTATATGCACAGACGTGTTGTTCAGCCACTGAAATCTTCCAGTGAAAGATTGATGTGAATATTTTCAGTTTCATAAGGTCCTTTTACAGCATCTATAATGTAGATTTATATTGAGTTTAACAACAAAACATCAGTAAATAGCGCAATTCCGCCTAACCTGCTTTGAGCTGAAGTTGCTTTTATATTCACATTGGGTCATTTTTGAACAATGACAGCCTTCCTATACTGTTTACCGCTACTCTTAATATTCGCTCTGAAATAGCGTGCAAGTGTGGCTAAGTAATTAATGTAATGCCTGCACGCCGACGCCGCTGGCTAAACACTAACTAACTGGCGAATGACATGAACTAGTGGGTTGTCTGTCTGCTGTTGTGGTGCGCACGCTCTCAATATCAGGGGTGTGGCTTTAAATCACAGTCCCTCCCCGCCGTCCAAAGATAATATGCTAAGCGGTTAGCATTTTGGCAGATCACCGGCTGAACCTTTAAGTTTAGATTAAGACTACAAGTGAGAATTGCATGTGAGGCATTATTTCATTTGCATGCATTTCTGGCACAAAAATTTTGTGTGATTCAAAATTCTTGTTTTATTGGTTTGAAGTATTAGAGTCAAAGGCTTTTATAAAAGTTTTTTTTTTTTTTTTTTGGATATTTTTAGGATTTTTTTTACAGTTTATTTTATGTAATGATGATACTTCAAAACTTATAGCGGATTGCAGAATTGTTTGCATGACGATTTTTATAGATTTTATACATCAAAATACAAAAAAATCTGAACTTTGAGTCAGATTTAAAATTCTTGTTTCATTGGTTTGAAGCATTAGAGTCAAAGGTACTTAAAGAAGGGGTTTTGGGAATATGTTTTTCATTCGATAACTCAGAATATATTGTGATTTTTACTTTTTTTCACAGTTTCTTATAGAAGAAAGACCTTATTCTGCAATGTGCGCTCATTTTTGAAATTGTTTTAGAACTTCTGATTCAGAAATGATATGGGAGAAATGACTAGGAATAATAAATGGCATAAATCCGTCAAACTATCTGCTCTACAAGTAAGTGTGCTCATGACTACTAAAAAGAAGAATATAATCAGAAAATAACAGTGTGCAACATCAAGCAGCATATCGAACTGTTTTTAACCTTTAAAAATCAATGCAAGTAATCTGAGATAAAGTGATCATATTCCTCTGTAAAAACCTTCAGAAAAATGATATGAATAAAACTGTAAAAAAAAAAAAAAAAAAAAAAAAAAATATATATATATATATATATATATATATATATATATATATATATATATATATATATATATATATATATATATATATATATATATAATATAAATAAAAAAGTTTGGTGTATGTAAGAGGAGACTTATGAGCAAAAACTCATTTTGAGAAAATGGTCTTTAAAAACATGAATTGTTAGTGAAATCTACAGACAAAAAGGGATTAATTCTGACAAAAGAAACACTTAAAAAAATAGTTTGGATGTTTTCTTAACTTTACATTGTAACAGCACTTTAGGAATAGCAAAAAATAAATCCCCAAATTCTTGAAATTGCAGATGTATGAATAACTGTTTTGCCTGAAGTGTCATTTCAGTGCTGGGTAGTCTGGCATAAAAATGTTTTTAAAATCAGTGTTATTCTTTCTTTGGGCAATATCTAAAAGTGTTTGTGTTCTTGATAAGATCATTGTCTCACAGTTCAAAAGGGTTATAAACCATTTACATATTGTCATGTCAACGGCCCATAAACTGCTTGTTATCAAACTATTTCATAACTGTAACAAGAGGCAATTCAATCACAACGTATAGCATTATTTATCAATATGTGGCTCTTTTGCATTCTCGTAAGCTCTAGAAAATAAAAATGTAAAACAGGAAATACGTTGAGACCATTGTTTTCATTTACATCCCTCAAAATGGTCTGTAGTAGACTCTCACCTTTATTGTACAGAGATCCGTCAAAGTAATAGCTGCCGGTGTAGAATCCGGTGACGAGTTCGATCAGGTGACGCAGCCAAGTGTTTCCTGCTCCTGGAAAACTGGACAGGGCCACAAGAGAGCTGGACTTCTGGGCCAGAAATGACCTTTCTTTGCACGTTGCATCTGAAAGAAGACATCTCTTCTTAGTTAAAGAGTGGTGAAGTCTATTGCTGCTGCATATGGTAGTTTACCTAGCACCGGAGTGCTGTACACCCAGTAGAAGTCGAGGTCATGAAGGGAAGTCTGGTTTGTTTGGTTGGCCTTCTTGCACATTTGGTCATTTTCACTCATCTGGATTGTCAAAAGAAATGAGGCACGGCTGCAGAAACAGTCCTGTCCTCTCAAAAGAGCCAGTGGCAGGTCCTAATGAAGTTACACACAATTTATATGTTATATCATAGAGCTTGTCACATAATTAACAACAATAATTATAATAATTGTTATTCAGTCACCCTTTCTGGCATTCTTGTTTTGGATCAGTGAGGCTGTTTGTCAGTTGATCGTCCTTCAACAGCGATATTCATATTGAACTGAACTTTATTTATTTAAATAACTTGAACTATACCTGCATTCTGCCATTATTCTGATATTGTACATCAAATACATTCCACAATAATGAAACAATCTTTTTTTTTATTTACTTTTAGTATTTGTCCTATCTTCATCCTTATAAAGTGGATTTGACGATATAAATTTGTCTAAAATGTTATAGAAAAGTGACTTGTTTATTATTATTTTTGTTGATAATATAAAGAAATGACTGATATAGTCTAAATAAAATTGCACATCTTGTCAGGGAAGCAGGGTTGTGTGTTCAGTTCTAAATCTCCTCTAAAGGTCAGAGGGCGCTCTTGTGCTGAAAATCCAACCGGGAGATCCCCATAGCATTCACTTTTGCTGCTTGTTCAAAGTTTGTATTTAAAATAGGTTGAAACAACACAATTCTTACATTGTTTTTTGGGGGACAACTTAGTTGTTTTATGTTCAGTCCACTTAAAAAAACAGATTCAGTTAGCTTAATCGACTTGTGTTGGAACAACATGAAGGAATTGTTTAGACCATTTTATTGTGTTGTATTATAAATAGAAGGTAGTATCTGAAATCATCGTTCACTATTCCCTACATTAGTCCACTTGAAGTAGTGAATAAGGGAATTTGAGCACTAGGAGGAGATGCTGTATTGTTTGTGCTTTGCTTTATGATAAATTCCTGAGATTAGATTCTCTGCTTCTTGGTCAGACCCTGTGGTCATTATTTAACACTCAGAGAGCTGTCCATTAGTAATAAAACAAAGTCTTTTGATTTTTGTCATGTAAATGATCCTTTTAATTAAATAATAGTTTATGTTTAACCACACACTGATAGGATTGAGCTTTAGATGCCATCTTGTGGTCAGATGCCGAAATTCATTCGGCGTGCAAACTCTTATGCTGTGTCCACACCAGACACGGCGTGGATGAATTCGCGAATAAATAGACGTCTGAACATTTTGAGCCAATTTTGAGCTCATTCGCACATCAAGTCCGCTTCATGTGAGCGACAAATTCACTTCAAAATGCGGATTTGCATGATGGATAGGGCTTCTGTCTGCTCGCTAACTCTAGTTGCATTGCTAAATACCTAACATGGATTTTATTGAGAGATTAGCTGTGTTTATGTGCTTTAGGAAGGCTGAAAACAGGGTTGATTCATTTGGAGCCGTGTCGGGGGTCCACTAGATCCTTTCAGAGGTGCACCCAGCTCTGTGAGTTCATTAACTCCTCGAGAAACTATACGTGGATGATGCAAGCTTTCAGCGGTGCTTCCGACTGAGCCAAGCCCAGTTTGATGAACTGTTGTTAGTGTCAGCTGGAGGATTTTTCCCCGGGACACCAACAACAGGAGCTACGTCATAATCATGCCCCCACAAGAGCAAGCTTCTGATTGGTTATTGTGGCGCTAATGTCCGCTGAAGTTCAGATTTTCGAACTTGAGCGTTTCGTGCGAAACATGCGATACAGTATGTGTGTTAAACACGTCAATCGCTTCATTCGCCGCGGCACCTCAATTGAGTGTATCATGCCGCAAGATGTCTAATTGCATCTTTGCATTGACATAACATGTAAATCAGTCGCGCTTGATGCTTTCACGTCCGGCGTGAACACAGCATTACAGTGCATTATTGGCATTTTCTAGTTGCTAAGTGACATGGGTTGAACACTTGTTATTACTTTGCATTGTGGGATTGATTGAGTACACTTCACTTCATAACATCCATGATTTCGGACACAAGTAATAATGGCTGCTCCCTTAAATAGTGCACTATTTTTGCATAGATTATCAATGTACTATGACTGTAGCAAATGTCCCTTCATCGGAAAGCACAGGTTTGCTAGTTTACTGACAAAATGGGCCTAATAATGTGCTTAAAAATAATGAATATATCTTGAATTAGCAGAAAAACAGTCCATTGGAACAGGATTTTGGAAAGTCGTCGATTTAATTGGTTTGAGCCAAGGATTAACAAACCTGTAAGACAAATGGTAAATAAGTGATATAGCGCCACCCATTGGCTGATTTAGCTGATTGTTTGAGATGGCGTAGTGTGCTGGACCATCTGACCGAGTTTCAAGACTAGGCTTTACAGTTTGGACTGGGCAATAGCAATCAGTGCAGGATAAAATCTAACAAATACAATAGAGTTTTAGCCGTAAAACCTTTGTAAAACCCCTCATACTAAGTATTAGCAATTGTTGTTCATAATGAATTTTATAACAGACTACTGGATAAGAGCATTGACCTGATCTGTACAGCTCTCAATACACTGCTGAGGAGTGTGTGTCGGTCCAGAGGTGTGGATCAGGAGGTCAGCCGTTGAGTTCTTTGGCCTTTTGTAACAGCCGTGGTAGTGCACAGTTCTGTCTGAGAAATAATGAACAAAATAAACAGAAGTTATCTTGCACAAAGGCTCAGGTCAACCTCCTGTTGTGCTCAGCAGATGTTGCATCAAGTTTGAACAAGAGCCAGATGCTTATTTTGGTTTTATACAGTGGTAAAAGTACCATTACATTCCAAATAATGTAGTACAAGTAGAGTAAAAGTATCTTTTGAAAATTATCAGTTAAATAATAATAACTCAAAGTATGAGTAAAAAGTAGCCCTTCTAAAAGTACTTGAGTAGTGAGAATTATGCTGTGAAAGGCTGTTGCGTTTACCTGAAATTTGAGCATGTGTGTGAAAACGTAATATTCTGTAGTGTATTTAGTTATTGTTTAAGGCCATTTCGGTCAACATACACACAGTCAACTCATTACCATCATATTGCAGTCTAAACAATCTCTCTGTCATTGCGTGTAATGATTGTGTATCTTCTGTGTCTTGAGGTTATTCTGTATGATGCAATTATTATAATTATTGTTATTATTATTTATGTATTATTTTTTTAAATGTGAGATTCAATTAGACAGGAATCATAGTACTGATTATTCTACAATAGCCAGAAGACAAGAAAAAATTAAAGTAGTGACTGTACAGCTCTACACATTTTAGTAAAGCACCATTCTGGAGAAAACCTACTCGGTCATTTGAGCATTTGTAATTTGCTTCTTCACACCACTGGTCATATCTACAGTGATGATACTCAATGGAAACCCAGGGTTGTAACCTTTAAATTCATCATTTTTTCAAATATATTAAAAATGTCATATGTGTTTGGCCCATTCAAGTGTTTGAAACACTTGGGTATTAGTTTGGCTCACATCTCCTCTGTCCTGGAAGACGATCCTCAACCCTGTAAACAGACATGCGTCCCACCCCTCCACATGGGGATCCCTTCTCTCCCCGGCAGTCCAGATTACAGTCCTCTCCTCGAGCCCGACGAGCACACACGCGATTCCCACAGTGACACTCTGATCCAAACTCCAATCCTGCATACCGGAAACCACTGCAAACAGGAGATGGCCTTCACTTCTTGGAGATTACACATGGAAATTTTATTCTATTCTATTCTATTCTTTTCTATTCTATGTGTTCTGTTTTGTTCTACTCTACAGTTGTTATTTTATCTGAGAGGCTTATTGACAGAATTCATTCATTCATTTTCTTTTCGAAAAGAAAAGAAATAAAGTTCCTTTATTAATCAGGGCTCGCCACAGCGGAATGAACCTTTGAACTCTTATTATATATAATTTATATAATTCTTTTCAGTTTTATTCAGTTAGTATATGTACTGCTAAAAGTGTGAAAAAATATTTCAAATTTTTTTGTCTTGTTTCTATCTAAAAACTCTTAATTCTTTGTTTTCAGAAAACAAGTCAAAATTAAGTGAGTTTTTCTTAAAACAAGAAAAAATAATATGATAGTGAGGTAGGATAATTATTTGAAAGAGATTTTTTTAAAATTTTGCCTACTTCAATGCCAGATTGTTTTGCTTGTTTTAAGGAGAAAACATTTATTTTTTAAAAAACTAAAATATTTTACTGTTCTAGAATTTATTTATTTTTTGATGCATTAATCTTAGTCAAAGTTCATTTATAAATATGTAATGTAATGTGCATTTATATAGCGCATTTATTGTGTATGGCCATACACCCAAAGCGCTTTACAATCATGAGAGGGGGTCTCTCCTCACCACCACCAGTGTGCAGCATCCACTTGGATGATGCGTCCGACGCCAGTGTGCTCACCACACACCAGCTATTGGTGGAGTGGAGAGACAGTGATCAAGCCAGTTCGGTGGAAGGGGATGATTGGGAGGCCATGATCGCAAGGGCCGATAGAGGGACTTTGGCCAGGACACCGGCGTTACACCCCTGCTCTTTCACGAGAAGTGCCATGGGATTTTTAATGACCACAGAGAGTCAGGACCTCGGTTTAACGTCTCATCCGAAAGACGGCGCCCACTGACAGTGTAGTGTCCCCTTCACTTTTACTGGGGCATTAGGACTCACATAGACCTCAGGTTGAGCGCCCCCTGCTGGCCTCACTAACACCACTTCCAACAGCAACCTAGTTTTCTCATGTGGTTTCCCATCCAGGTAATGACCAGGCTCAACCCTGCTTGGCTTCAGTGAGTAACCGGTCTTGGGCTGCAGGGTGATATGGCTGTGGATTTGTTTTTTTCTTAAAGTTAAAGTTAAAATTCATGAAAGTGGTTGAAAAATATAACAGTTTGCATTTTCTGCAGCAAGCATTATTCATTCATTCATTTTCTTTCAGCTTAGTCCCTGATTATCAGGGGTCGCCACAGCGGAGTGAACCGCCAACTTATCCAGCATATGTTTTACACAGCGGATGTCATTCCAGCCGCAATTAGTTTATTCAATTCACCTATAGTGTATGTCTTTGGACTGTGGGGGAAACCAGAGCACCCAGAGGAAACCCACGCCAACATGGGGAGAACATGCACACAGGTCCAGTACTAACCATTGAGCCACCTTGCTGCCTATATTATTTATTTGAGTAGTAAATATGTATTTTCACACTTTGAATATTCTTCATTGAATGTTTTAGTATAGATAGTTTTTTTCTTTAAAACGGCTGTAGCATTTACATATGTGTATGGCTCTAACTGTGACTCTCTGGATGAGCTCCAGGTCCGTCACACCAGCCAGCTCTCATTCTGCCACCTGCTTCTGTGGATAAACACTGAACACTTTCTTCTAACAGAACAGGGCTTCTTTCAGTACTCAATAATTTTTCTTGTGGGTCACTTTAGACGTTACCTCTCTGAGCAGGTGTCCTGGCACAAGGTGCTGGTCATTTTACGAAAATCATACAGAATGGTCCCGCCGAGTGCATGCTCCGTCTCATTATTTATGAAACATCCAATGTAGGTCCCTGATTGAGAATGAGAACAGCATTTAGAACTCAAAAATAATTTGAATGCAAAATGGTTATTCTATTTTTGGTTATTCTATAAATGGTTATTCTAATATTTCCGTTTCATTATTTATTAAACATCCAATGTACAGTTGAAATCACGATTATATATATATATATATATATATATATATATATATATATATATTCTCAAACAGTGATTAACAGAGCAGGGAATTTTCCAAAGTATTTCCTATGATTTATTTGCTTCAGGAGAAAGTTGTATTTGTTTTACTCCAGCTAGAATGAAAGCAGTTAAAAAAAAAAAAACATTTTAAAGTCAATAATATCAGCCTCCTTAAGCAATATACACTCACCAGCCACTTTATTAGGTACACCTGTCCAACTGCTCATTACCGCAAATTTCTAATCAACCAATCACATGACAGCAACTCAATACATTTAGGCATGTAGACATGGTCAAGACAATCTGCTGCAGTTTTTTGCTCAAACTGAGCATCAGAATGAGGGAAAAGGGGATTTAAGAAACTTTTGAAGATTGAAAAAACGTTGCTTGGTCTGATTAGTCTTGATTTCTTGATTTGACATTCTGATGGTAGTGTCAGAATTTAGCATCAACAACATGAAAGCATGGATCCATCCTGTCTTGTATCAACGGTTCAGGCTGGTGGTGGTGTAATGGTGTAGGGGATATTTTCTTGGCACACTTTGGGCCCATCAGCACCAATTAAGCATTGTATCAACGCCACAGCCTACCTGAGTATTGTTGCTGACCATGTTCATCCCTTTATGACCACAGTGTACTCATCTTCTGATGGCTACTTCCAGCAGGATAACACGCCATGTCATGAAGCACGAATCATCTTAAACTGGTTTCTTGAACATGACAATGAGTTCACTGTTCTCAAATGGCCTCCACAGTTACCAGAGCTCAATCCAATAGAGCATGTTTGGGATGTGGTAGAATGGGAGATTCACATCATGGATGTGCAGCCGACAAATCTGCAGAAACTGCGTGATTCTATCATGTCCAAAATTGACCAAAATCTCTGAGGAATATTTCCAGTACTTTGTTGAGTCTGTCATGAAGGATTAAGGCAGTTCTGAGGGCAAAAGGGGGTCCAACCCAGTACTAGTAAGGTGTACCTAATAAAGTGGCCGGTGAGTGTATTTTTTTTTTTTCAATTGTCTACAGAACAAACCACTGTTATACTTGCCTAATTACCCTAACTTGTCTAGTTAACCTAAATAACACAGTTAATTGACTTTAAATGTCACTTTAAGCTGAATACTAGTATCTTGTAAAATGTCTAGTAAAATATTATGTACTGTCATCATGGCAAGGATAAAATAAATCAATTATTGGAAATGAGTTATTAAAACTATCATGTTTAGCAATGTGTTGAAAAAATCTCTCCATTAAATAGAAATTGGGGGGAAATACAGTGGGGCTAATAATTCTGACTTCAACTGTAGGTTCCTGTTGAGCATTTACAACTAATTTTAAAATAATTGAAATATAAAATGGTTATTTTTATAAACCATTACCTTTTTGTCTTGCTTCCTTTTGTAGTAAATGATGTTCAGAAAAGCTTTTCTGTTCAGCACTGCTTTGAAACCAGTGGCGTCTGAGATGCCTAATCTCCAGGTTAGGAGTTATGAGGTGCTTCTGGTCATTTCTGTTGTCTGTGTGATCAAGATTTTCTATCTCCTGGATGATGTTCCTCCTGTACAGCCACCTTACAGCAGGTCCCTCCAGGGCTCTAGGTGGCGCTGGTAGGGAAGGGAGTGCCACTGTTTCTGTGTCCCTCTGAAATGTTACCACACTAGAGCGCTGAAGTAGTAAAACGCTCCCTGCCATGATGTAAGCCACACCGAGAAAAAACAGGAGCAAGTGAGCTCGCCTTAAAAAGTGCTGCAGTCTGTAGGACGGCTTGGCCATCCTGGTTCAAACCATCCAGACAAAACTTCTAGACTTATTCTGGACAAGTAAATCGATTATACAATGTAGATGCTGCTCTGATCGTCATCCTTTAAGGAAGATTGGGCTCTTGGTGTCTGAAGCTTCATGAGTTTGCGGGACCTAAAATAAACACATAAAAAAGTCTGTCAGGATGAATGCAAGATCTAACACTGTCATATAAATAGATGTGACAGATCTGCAGTGGAATGTTGAAATGCAGAGATCATGTAAGCGTATTCACATCACTATTATGTTTTCTTAAAGGAGATGGTTCACCCAAAATATATTCACCCAAATTTCTAGTCTATATAGTAAATAATACCTGAAAACAGCAAAAGTAAGTTCAAGGAACTCAAAAAATGTGGAAGAAATTAAAAAAATGTGTGTTTTGTGAATTTTTCCCCCACATTTTTTGAGTGCCTTGAACTTACCTTTGCTGTTTATTCTGATAAATCCCTTACCCAAAGAACATAGAGACATTATTTAAGCTACCCCTAAGCTATTTTTGTTAGGTTTTTGGATTATTAATACCTGAAAGCATTTAGATTTAGTCATTTAGCTGATGATTTTGTTTAAAGCGACTTGCTGTTGAGAAGGCATTCAGTGATTCAACAAGAAGAGGCAATACACAAGAAGTGCTATACAGTAATTATGCAAAAGGATTGTTAGTACTCAGAGAATTAAGTGCTAAAGGAAGGAGAGGGGGATGGTTTTTGTTTTTTTAGAGAGAGAAGAGTGTTTCTACTCGTGGTTTGTCAAGCCCACTCACCTGTGTGAAGCACACTTCATGAAGATATGGAGTGATGATTGTAAGAAAGTGTTTGGTGGAAATCTCTGTTAAAGTGTCTAGATGTAAAAGTATTTCATCTATTTATAGGTGGTCTGTCAAGCCCACTCACCTGTGTGAGGCATAATAAGAATTGCTTAATGTTTTGAGGTTGTCATGTGATGTTGCTGGGGAGAGAGTAGAGCGGGTTGTAATATTTAGTTTTTAATAATGTTTTATCTCATAAATATGACAAAATCCTTCACTGTGTCGGTGTATTTCAGTTTCAATTTGATTCGTTTAACTAAATATAGTGTAGCCCTACAGTATGTTGTTTTAAACTAATTATAGAGAATGGATAGTTATCAGCTAGAGGGCGACGCAGTTTGTGCTACGCCACTGTCAGTTTCCAGAACATTCTTAATTCAGGTTCAGCAGAACGGTTTGGAACCAACCGATGGAGAGTAATTAGTCAAATAAAATTTTGGATGAAATTTAATCGACTTTTTAATTGCCTTTTTCTCACTGTTGTCATTTTTTTTTAAACAAGTATTGTTTTTTTAATGTTATGTTTTTCAATAATTACCAAACCACACAATACCAATAATAAAAAAAATAAATACAAGGAATAAGCATGACAAAACAAGAAATAATGGTTATAATAATTACAATAAACTATATATATATATATATATATATATATATATATATATATATATATATATATATATAATATATATATATATATATATATATATATATAATATATATATATATATATATATATATATTTTAATTTGTTATTATAAGTTATTATTGAAATATAATTAGGCTATATAAACGATTTCAATTAAAATACAAAGAGGCAGTCAATAGGGGTCGTGAACATATTAAGCATTAAACTGCTGCTTAGAATCTGCATTATATTGGTCCAGGTGATCAAGAAATGGTTGTTATATATTGTAAAACTTATCAAGATTATCAATAACCCCATAACGGACTCTCCTGGCACTAATCATTTAATTATGGTGCTTTGTATATACACATTATGATCCAGCAAAGAACTAGAGTTCCCAAATATAGCAATTTCTGGGTCAGGTGTAAAGGTAAAACCATACATATCGGAAAACCATTTAAATATGTCAGACCAGAAATCATAAAGTATTGAACATGTCCTTAAAAGGTGGGTCAGGGAGCCTTCAGCAGACTTAGACCGGTCACATGAAGGGGAAATGGTAGTAAAAATTCTGTGTAATTTAGATTTTGAGTAGTGCAGTGTACTGTATGCTTTACTTTAAATTGAATTAATTAATGCCTGGATTTAATAGAACAATGTCAAGGCTTTCCTCCAATGTATCAGTCTCAATCTGAATGCCCAGTTCCTCTTCCCAAGCATTATTCAAATGAATTGTAGAGTAGCTCAGTTCTTGAGAAATCACATGTACAAAATCTGAAATCAAATTTTGGAATCAGGTGAGCCCAATAGTAGCCTGTGAACCCTTTTCATCTGGCAGAGATTCAAAATTGGGTATTGCATGACTTGCATGATTTCCAATCTGTAAATGTCAAAAGAAGTGTTTCAGGGAGAAAAAACTTTTGTTTTAGTTGAGAAAATGAGTCCTCCTGGGTGACTATACCTTCCAGCCTCCAAATATTGAATGTTGTGTCAGAGATAGAGGGAGGGAAAGCATGATCACGATGTACTGGGCAGAAGTAGTAGTGTCTGGTAATTTGCAGCACTTCTTAATTTGATGCAATATATTTTTAACAGTTTGACACAATCAAATTGTCAATCTTAACTAATTTAAAAACAGGAGGACTGGAAGTGAGCTCTTTGTAATTCAGTTTTTTTTTTTCTCAATGGCGACTCAATGGGGTGTATCAGTCAAGATTTCGACTTTATAATCATCTTGCCAGTAGACAAGGGCCCTGGCATTAGCTACCCAGTAATAATGTAATGGGCTTCTGTTAATGTGTTGAATAATCTATGAGCTTTAAATGCCCAACTGGTGTCATTTTAATTGTATGCATATTTGATTAGGATATTAATCACACATTTACTGTATATATTCATCTAAACACTAACATACTATAACAAAATAATATGTGTTAGTTACTGGACCTTCAGACTCAAACGTCCAATCGTCGGTAAACTACAAATCCTGTTGAGATCATCTTCAGAACTTTTGTTTTCAGCTGATGAACAATAATTAAAAAAAAAAACAATGACAACCAATCAGAATCTATTCCACTCAAAAGAGCTTCAGCATTTAAAGGGATAGTTCACTCAAAAAGGAAAATGTTCTCAGTGTTTACTCACTAGTTTCTTTTTTTCCTGTTGAACACAAAATAAGATATCTTGAATAATGTTAGAAACCTTTAACCATTGACTTCCATATTAGAAAAAACAAATACAGGACTTGGCGGCGCGATGGCTTGATGGTTGGCACTATCGTCTCACAGCAAGAAGATCACTGGTTCGAGTCCCAGCTGGGTCAGTTGGTATTTCTGTGTGGAGTTTGCATGTTGGCGTGGGTTTCCTCCGGGTGCTCCGGTTTCCCCCACAGTCCGAACACATGCGCTATAGGTGAATTGAATAAACTAAATTGGCCATAGTGTGGTTGAGTGTGTATGGGTGTTTCCCATTACTGGGTTGCAGCTGGCAGGGCATCCACTGTGTAAGGGCATACTCACACTATGTACAGTTTCCTTGATCCGTGCCGTCTTTAATAAACTCTGACAGTTCACTCATTGAGAAGTAAGAATGATTAATAAATCCTTTTGAAAAAAGTGATGTCGCGTCTTCGGTTTCGGGCTCAGGTGCACTTTGCACTGAAACTACAAGTGTACGACCCTAAAGCCCAACCAAACCATGGTCTGGCACACCTCTTCCAAATGGGACAGGGCCGGCTAACTGAACCACGCCTGAGCCTGATTCGGAGCACTCACACTTGTCAAACGAACTGGGAAACACGCCTGGGAACAGTTCGGATAGCATAGCGTGAGTGCACCCTAAAACATATGCTGGATAAGTTGGCGGTTCATTCCGCTTTGGTGGCATCTGATGAATAAAGAGACTAAGCCGAAAGGGAATGAATGAATACAGGTTTCCAGCATTTTTCTAAATATCTTCTTTTGTGGTCAAAAAGAAAAACTTGTTAGAAAGAAATGATGACAGGATTTGCAGTTTTGGATGAACTGTCCCTTTAAAGCACAAATGCAGCACTGACTTATTAAATAGAATGTTATTGTGTTCGCTGGTGTGAAGATTAATAAAGTAATCATTCTTGCAGTGTTTAATCTCAAAGCTGATCAAAAAAATAAGTGAGCAACTTGTCATATTTCTCTATTTTCTGCAGCAGATGCTGTGAAAGCTTGTTGTGACCCAGAAGAGTCTTCAGCCCTTTGGGGCTAATGAGTTGTTTGCGATGAATCGATAAGAGTCTAATTATCATTCCGCTTTTGATTTATTAAACCGAAGGAAAACATGAAAACTGAAGAGAACCTGCTTGCAGAAATGCACAGTGTTTCCTGAGGTATGAAAACATCTACAGACAGAATGGCTGAGTTTTCGGTGCCCGTTTTGTGCCTGGTGGTTTATGGGATGTGAGTTGTCTGTCCGTCAGAGTGATGGGTTGGAAGAAATTTCTGCCTGTGGGAGGGGAGAGCTGTCCGTCCTACTGAACTTCATGTCAAGGATCACAGAGCTCATTCATACTGCAGACAGAAAGAAGACATCCAGTGCAGATTCATCAGTGTGTAGCAAAGCGTAGTACGCTAAATTGCAACAGAGCAACTCGTTTGTTTTGGTGGGAGTACATTATTTGAAAGTAAAATCTAACCTGTGTTTGTTTGACTGGTAATGTTTCAAAGAGAGGCATATTTATGGATCATTTCATGCAAAATTGATTACCGCTTGTCCCTCTTACAAAAAATAAATTAAAGCAAAGTGCTTATAGTGGAAGTGAATGGGGTCAAATCACAAAGTTTAAAATGTGCTCAAATGCTGAACTTGTATAGTCATAGGATATAAACATGCATTTTAAAATATGAAATATAAATTTTTATATGCAAACCGTTTCTTTATAACTACACTGTAAAAAGCAATTAGTTACTTAAAAAAATTGAGTAAATCCATTGTAACTCGTAACATAATTCATTCATTCATTGATTCATTTTCTTGTCGGCTTAGTCCCTTTATTAATCCGGGGTCACCACAGCGGAATGAACCGCCAACTTATCCAGGACGTTTTTACGCAACAGATGCCCTTCCAGCTGCAACCCATCTCTGGGAAACATCCACACACACACACTCATACACTACGTACAATTTAGCTTACCCAATTCACCTGTACCGCATGTCTTTGAACTCTGGTGGAAACCAGAGCACCTGGAGTCAACGCCAACTGAGCCAAGGCTTGAACCAGAGACCTTCTTGCTGTAAGGCGACAGCACTACCTACTGTGCCACTGCTTCGCCGGAACATAATTTGATGTAACTTAACTTTTATAATAGTGCTTAAATCTGATTTTCTTGCATGGCTGTTCACGCTGCTCTTATTAATTTGGCCAATATCTGATTTGCAGTGTGAACAGATCATGGTCCTAAACTGAGCCGCATGCGCAAAAGTGCATTACGGAGAGCACAAAATGTCTAATTATGCACACGTGATGCTGTATGAAAGCACGTTGTCAGATCATGCTTGTATAATTATTGCCCTTTTCACAGACAACCGTGGTGTATTTCATGAACTGTAAATGATTGTTCTGCTACTACTAATGTGTTTTTCGCCATTTGTAATCTAAAATAAGTCACTTGTGATTGAAAACACTGATCATTTGTGATTTATGACAACCGCGGTGCGTGTTTGTTTGACCACCGTGTAGTGAACCCATCAAGGGTTAATAAGCAGCCGCAGACTGAACTGTTATTTCATGTTACTTCGTTATAAACGCGTACAGAAGGGGGGTTGGGTCCTCGAGCACCTTCCCTTTTTTTCTCTTAGAGACAAAGTTCTCCCTCCTTTGCACACGGATCCCCTATCCGCAACATGCATGATGCTATTCATCTTCGTGATCAACCCGTGCCCCAAACGTTAACAAGCAACAGTTTTGCCTTCAAAATCTTTTTTAAATCGAACAACCAACTTTCTGTGTTAAAGTAATTGCCCTGTGTGCTATTCTAGTATGCTGCTGAGGAGTAGATAATGTTTGCAGCACAGAATGATGACGCATGTCGCTCAAAGATTATTTATAAGTCTCATGAATCCGACATATCCGTTCACACTGCGGTCGCATTGCAAAACAGCAGATCTGTGTGCCACTTTCATATGTAGTCAAAAATCAGACAGATCTGAAACGATCAGATTCCATGTGTTTTGGGCTGTTCACACTGTCATTGCCTGAGTCACATGTGGGCAAAAAATTTAGAGTTCTGCAATTTTCCATATCATATCGACGTATGAAGTATTTAAAATAACACTTTTTATGTTAGTTTGATTATAAGTATTTTTGAGACTATATATAGATTTGATTGTGAGACTATAGTTTAAATTAGCCAGTGTTCTTTGCATGACTTGTTTAGATTGTTGTATAGATAAGAGTATAGACTCATTTCACTTCCACATCTTTTATAAGCAATCCTTTCATGTGTCATGGAAGGGAAGAAAGACTCCTGGGAGCCTGTATAAATGTCACATCCTTTTGACTTCTTCACATAAATATCAAGCTTTTGTAGACGATAGAAAGTCAGAGGTAGTCTCATTTATTTATTTATTTTTTTATATTTTCTCATAAGTTGTTCATGATGGCAATAAAAAATAATTAATGCATGAAACCTAATACCTATATCTATTACCTATAACTAAGCCCACACTGAATTTTCCGTGATTTTTTTTAGCCCATCAGTTAATCTGTTTATTTACATTTACATTTACATTTAGTCATTTAGCAGACGCTTTTATCCAAAGCGACTTACAAATGAGGACAAGGAAGCAATCTACACAACTATAAGAGCAACAATGAATAAGTGCTATAGGCAAGTTTCAGGTCTTTATTTACTTAAATTTGTATGAATAAATATAAATATATATATTTTTTTATTAATTTCAGAAATATTTTTAACTAATATGAAAACATTTGTTTTATTTACAATACAGTTTGCAAAGTGTGCGTGCGTGCGTGCGTGTGTGCGTGTGTGTGTGAATGTTTCCCAGAGATGGGTTGCGGCTGGAAGGGCATCCGCTGCGTAAAAATGTGCTTGATAAGTTGGCGGTTCATTCCCCTGTGGCAACCCTGGATTAATAAAGGTTGAATTGAACTCATAATTCCCTTATTATTGAAAAAAGTATTTGTACATCACTTCACCTAAAATGTGAGTTCTTTTTGTTTATTTTGTAGATATCTGACCAACAAAAAATTCATTAAAATAAAGATACAAATTATACTGAGCAAAATTTGTTACAAAAAGATAATTTTTCCAACAAAATTTGGCTAGATGAAGTGGTGAAAATAATTTCAATGTTTCCTGTTTTTCATCTCTTGGTGTTTTTTTTTTTTTTTTGTCTTATCAGGTAAGAATCCAAAGTAATTCAGAATTTCACTTTGTGATTTGTTCTTTTTAAGAGATCATTGCGGTTTTTGTATCTATGAAATCATATTGACAGGAACAGGATTGAACCCTAGATATATTATATGAGAAACCTGCTTACTAAACAAGTGGATCTAAATGGATTTGCAATGAAAACCTTAAATAAAAGTTTTGAAATTTCATGTTTTTAGTTGCATGGCGATACGGTGGCCCAAGGTTTTTTGTTTTTTTTTTTCTTTCTTTTTTTTTAAGGTGGCCCAATGGTTAGCACTATCACCTCACAGCAAGATGGAAGCTGGTTCGAATCCCAACTGGGCCAGTTGCCATTTCTGTGTGGAGTTTGCATGTTCTCCCCCTGTTCACGTTGGTTTCCACCGGGTGCTCTGGTTTCCCGCACAGTCCAAAGACATGCGCTGTAGGTGAATTGAATAAACTATTGACTGTAGTGTATGTGTGTGAATGAGTGTGTATGGATGTTTCCCAGTGCAGGGCATCCGCTGTGTAAAACATATGCTGGATAAATTGGCGGTTCATTCCACTGTGGCGACCACCGATTAATAAAGAGACTAAGCCGAAGGCGAATTAATTAATCAATATGTTTTTAATATCATAATAATGACTGTAATTTATTTGAATAAAAGAATAAGATTACTAATTGTGCTTAACTTAATTGTACTAAAGCTGCAATATTCCATAAAGGACAAAACAACAAGTATATCAATCATCCTGACACTTTTATCTCCTAATGTATTACAGTTTTCCATCAGGACTCAAATAACAGGCAAGTAAACAACATATGGTCTTGCTGGTTTAAATTCATCATCTGTTCTGAAACGTTTGACGGTTTGTCTAGAAAACAGTTTTTTTACGTGCCAAGAGGATTCTCCAGGAAAATAACACTCAAGTCTCCATTCAGCCTAACAGAAAATAAAATCATCTACATGCTGATTGAAAAACCTTGTTCTTCTTGAAGAGAACGAGAGGTCTATTTGGAGATGATCAACATCCAAAACATGTTTGTAAAGCAGCACATTATCTGGCAGACTTCAGCAGGGTTTTTTTTTCTTTAACTTGATGAGAAATTAACATTTACTCACCCACTATTTGTTCCAAATCAGACCTTTATGAGCTTTTCTATTCTGTTAAGCATCAAAAGAAGATATTTTGATTTTGAAACTGGTAGCCATTGACATCCATGGTACTACGGAAGTCAATGGCTATTGTTGCAACATTGCAACAGCAGTGGAGGGTGAGTAATTTTCATTTTGGGTGAACTAACACCTCACTAAGCCTATATTTAGATTGCTTTTATTTTAGTCTTTTGGTAAGGCTTTGCATGATCATATTTATGCATAAAAATAATAAAATTAGAGAACAGATTGCATGTATTCAGTAAAATATTAACAATATGAGGGGAACACATTTGTTGTACAGTATATTAGGTAATGTAAAACCATAACAGAGGTAATTTGCTTTCATTTCCAGAGTGAAATATCGAGTCAGTAATCTTTAAAAATGAATTAAACTTGATGTAAGCTCAAATTCTGTGATCAAATATACAATCTTTAGAGTCCAAGAGCAGTTCACTTTAGGCACACTTGTTCATTTACCTCCATTACCATACTTTATAATTGTCTTTATTAGCAAAAGACAACTTTAAGTACTAGCATATGTTGTGTATACAATAGAATAAGGTGTTTAGTATAATAAAATCCTACTTTCATCCACAACTCAGATATTACAACAGTATTAAGATAAGCATGTTTAACTTTGTTTAGTGGTGCCTCAGATGAAGCCTGTATATATACAATGCTTTTGTTTTAGTCTTTTTGTAAGGCTTCCTTTATTTAGAGAATTAGAGAAGCTGGATGTCATCAGTTATTAATATTTACACTGGGGGGGGGGGGGGGGGGTGTTTGCACAGTATTTTAGGCTAATGTATAACAACAAACCCATACCTGAGTTCATTCGGTCACCTTTCTAGACTAAAATATTGAGTCCATAATCGTTCAAAAGAACTAAACTCATTAAAACTCAACATCTGTAATCAATAATATAATTTGTAGAGTGAGTTTCAGGTCCAAGAACAGTTCACTTTATACAGTACATACACGTGTTTATTTACTTTCATTTAGGCTAACATAATTCATCTTTATAGCAAAAGACAATTTTAAGCAAACGGTCTGTCAAAGGTTATACATTGCTGAGACTTGTTTTGTATCATAATACAATATTTACAAGAGTTAATGATGCAAAATCATACTTTAATCTTGATATTATGACAGTATACTAAGATAAGGCAGGTTTGCATATGTTTTTGTGGTGCCTCAGATCAAGCCTGTATATTTAGAACGCATTAGTTTTAGTATTTTCGTGAGGAAAATAAGAGAACAAGCTTAATGCCATCAGTTTCTAATATTTACACAGAGGGGGGAAATGGAGTTTAAGATTCAACGCTAAAACCAACTTATTCAGTCCAATTTCATACTTTATTCAGTCAGTAATCTTTAAATGGATGATGCATACTCAACATCTGTGATCAAATATAGTCTTTAGAGTGAGTTAAAGTCTAATAACAGTTCACTTTACACTTGTTCATTTTCCTCCATTTAGATTAACATCATTTCATAAAGATAATATTTACTGGCAACAGACAACTTTAAGTTAACGGTTAGTTAAAGGTTAAAGATGGCTGAGACTTGGGTATGTTATGCATCATATAATACGCTATATTACTAGACTTAACGATGCAAAATCATACTTAAATCTCAGATATTATGACAGTATACTATAAGATAGGGCAGGTTTGCATATATGTTTTTCTGGTGCCTCAGATCAAGCATATTTAGGATGCATTAGTTTTAGTATTTTGTGAAGCTTTTCTTCTTCTTTATTATTATTATAATTATTATTATTAAATAATATTTTTTTGCATAAAATGAAGGCATAAATAGTCAATTAAGGGAACAAGTTTAATGCCATCAGTTTCTAATATTTACACAGAGGGGGGAAACGGAGTTATGTGAGGTAAATCAACATAATTCATTAGGTCCATTCTAAATGTAGTCAATAATATTTAAAAGGATGATAAACTAAACATCTGTGATCAAATATAGTCTTTAGAGTGAGTAAAAGTCCAATAACAGTTCACTTTAAGTACACTTGTTCGTTTTCCTCCATTTAGGTTAACATCATTTCATATTTACTGGCAACAGACAACTTTAAGTTAACGGTTAGACGTTTTAAGTGACACTTGCGCTAGTCCATAATGCAAAATCCTGCTTTCATCAACAAATCAGATATTATGACAGTATATAACTTTAATACGATATGACAGGTTTACATTTTTTTACCTTTGTGGTGCCTCAGATGAGGAGCGGTTTCACCGGACCCGCGGACGCGGTTGTGTCCAGTTCACGCGCTCGGTGCGACTACAGCGCTTGGGCACGCGCTTCCACTGAAGAGAGTCCGGTAATTCCTGAATGAAAAGAACGTTACTCACAGGCTTTCCCCCGCTGCTCTCGGTAATGAAAGATTGTTTTCACCGCATGTTTCAACCGCTTTAGCTATTTCTAAATCTACAGCGACTTTTTGCGTCTGTACTTCGCGTTAAAGTCGTTAGTGGGAAATGAGGCAGAGTCGTGCCGAATATTCAGAATATGCAGTGAATTAAAGGGACCTTGTTGTTCCCAGGCAACGTGTAAAACACGGACTGAACTGATGCGATTAGATGAGCTCATTATATGATGTCAAAGCTATACAGAAGCAGCAGGACTCCCGCCCAAACCCTCCGGTGACAAACCAGCATGCGTGTATAAAGCTTACCCTACAACACTTTATTATCAGAAAATTAACTAACAGTGTTGTTGTAATGTTTTTAAAAAAAATCTTTTATGCACTATATTTCCCCCACAATGTCCTGGATGTCTGATAAAAAGAAATATAGAGAAAACAAGGCTGCAGATGATAATAAAAGTTACATTTTATTGATGAATGTGTTTTTTATTTATATTTTTACCAAGTAGGCTAATGACTATCATACATACATTCACCGGCCATTTTATTAAGTACACCTTAGTACCAGGATGGACCCTCTTTTGCCTTCAGAACTGCCCTAAACCTTTGTGGCATAGATTTAACAAGGGACTGGAAATATTCCTTTTGGTCCATATTGACATGATGGCATCACGCAGTTGCTGCAGATTTGTCGGCTGCACATTCATGATGCGAATCTCCTGTTCCGCCACATCCCAAAGGTGCTCTATTGAAATGAGATCTGGTGACTGTGGAGGCCATTTGAGCACATTTTTTAGAGCACAACGTTGCTCAATGCTGAACACAACCAATACTAATTTAAAAAAAGTCCTACATCACATACATAACAATTAAACATAAGTCAAACCCCTAAACATTGAAAAGTCTCAACTGCTAAAGAACAAAGATGCTGTTTCAGAATTAAAAAAAAAAAAAAAACAGATAAAGTTGAAGCGTGCCTGATATGGGGTGGAAGCTTGTTACAGTATTTTGGGGCAATAACAGCAAAAGCTCACTCCCCACTTCACTTAAACCATGGCCTTGTTACGGAAAGAATAAACTGATCAGAAGACCTTAGTAACCCTTACAGGATTACATACAGTTGAAGTCAGAATAATTAGCCCAATTTATTTTCTTTTTTTAAATATTTCCCAAATGATGTTTAACAAAGCAAGGAAATTTTCACAGTATGTCTGATAATATTTTGTCTTCTGGAGAAAGTCTTGTTTGTTTTATTTTGGCTAGAATAAAAGCAGTTTTTAATTGTTTAAAAAAATATTTTAAGGTCAAAATGATTAGCCTCTTTAAGCTATTTTTTTCGATAGTCTAACCATTGTTATACAATAACTTGCCTAATTCCCCAAACATGCCTAGTTAACCTAATTAACCTTAGAAGCCACCTTAAACTGTATAGAAGTGTCTTGAAAAATATATAGTAAAGTATTATTTACTGTCATCATGGCAAAGATAAAAGAAATCAGTTATTACAGATGAGTTGTTAAAACTATTATGTTTAGAAATGTGTTGAAAAAAAATCTCCTCTCTGTTAAATAGAAATTGGGGGAAAAAATAAACAGGGGCGCTAATAATTCAGGCGGGCTAATAAGTCAGGGGGGCTAATAATTCTGACTTCAACTTGTAGGAGAGCTGATAAATATGATTTCATTTAGTTATCAGGTCTTTTATATATTCTAACATGTACATTTTACTCAAACATATACCTTTATATTATATATAAGAGACTATATTATTGTGTTTAGCTCTCATTTCTGATTAACAGAAGCACAAATGTGTTCAAAATAGGGTTAATCTTTTTTTCTCTCTGTGTGTTTTTCCTCCTCCTCAAACCCTTCAAGCTCCTAAAATACCTCTCTGTACAGCATTACACGCTTTGATTAATGCTGATTTAATCACAGGCTTTCAAAATCATTTCTGAGCTTTGCGCCACCCATGTGGATCCTGTTATCAGGCTGAATGAGAATTCATGTTTTTATTTGGCCATGTACATTTGTAATACATCAGAGATGGAGAGGGAGAGAGAGAGAGAGACCGTGGCTCATTGATGCTGGGTTTTGGGTCCTGGAGTTCTTCTGGCTCCAGAGATCTGCTCTATCTGTGCTGAGCAGAACAGAGCCTTTGTTTTTCTGGAAACAGGAGAGGAGCACATTCATCTAGCTAAGAAAGAGAGACATGCTCAGATACAGCTACATGTAAAATTAATTTTCTTGACATTCTAATCTACACCAAAACAAACCCATGCTTTCTTTCCCCACTTGCATTTAAATGTCTGACATATTATGAGAAAATCTACTTTTAAAGCTGTTTGGACAGACGTGTGTAGTTGTAGTGTATAAACCGTCATATTAGCGTTATATAAACACGCCCAGTCTTTTTTTTTTCAAATTTGACAACATAAATGGAGGACCAATTGGAGCGGTTTTCAGATCTACCGCAACTTGACATAGGAGTGCGATGCCCCCGCCCACCAATATTGTTTGACAGCTGCGCAAATTACCATGTCTCCGTAGTAACGCATAAAATCATATCAGCAAGACAGGACATACAAACGGGAATAAAAGGTCTGTTCAGTTTGCTAGGATCATCAATCATCATCAAACGTGATCAAGGGTCAGTTTTACAAGTTTAAAATGTTTTAAACAGTGTACGTGTGTAATAAAGTACAGCGATTCACTTCATCAGCACAGCCGCATGTCAGTACAATTATAAAAGAAGACGCTTCAATCCCGGTTTGTGGACGTTAAATCAGGTTTATTTTGTACGTTAGCATAACAGATATCCATACAGCAGTGTGTGTGTGTGTGTGTGTGTGTGTGTGTATGTGTGTGTGTGTGTGGGTCTGCTTGTCTGCGTCTGCGCTATGTATGTGTTTGTGTGAGTGTGTGTGTGTCTGCGCTATGTGTGTGTGTGTTCTCGCTGTGTGTGTGCGTGAACTTTGTAACGACATTTTTTGTGACTCATTGTTGCAACTCCACAAAAAACAAAATACTGATTGGTAAAAATCTTACTGTAGTATTTCTTTTTTTGTGTGTGTGATTAAGTTTTTTATTGATTTTGATTTTACATGTGAGGGGTTGTAGCATGTAGCATCTTTACAATTTACTTTCAATAAACAAGATCCACTCCTCAACCACAAGGTTTTCCTATCCACAAGAGCGAAAGTAAAAGTAGATTATGAGATGCCTTATCTCTCATTCTCGTGCTGCAGATGGTTTGTTTAACTGTTTTCTTGCTAGTAAAATGCTCAGTTTTTCCACTTACAAAGTCCTCCTGTAAATAGCAAATGCACCATGGTGCGACGCAACTGGCTCTTAAAGGGAATGGGAGATGAGACTCTGATTGGTTTATTCTCAAAACACACCTATAACTCATTAGGAAAATAAGCTCAACCCTTTTATATCATGCGCCACAGCGCAAAGCGGATTTTCCTGCGATTTGCACTTTGCGCATGGACCGTCAAAATAGAGCCCTAAAGGTATTACTATAAATAACCATAGTATTTTTCATGTGGGCCATCAATCAGAATGATTTCATTCCAGCTGAAACAAAAGGTAAACATAGCTTCCTTTTCATGCATAATTATATTGCTCTAAGCTGCTATAATACATCAAAATTGTATATTATCATACAGTATTATTATATCAGTCTTTTGTGATGTTTGCAGCATCGGTGTATGTGTGTGTGTGAGAGTGAGTCATGTCCACTTGGGGGCTTCGTGTGCCTCGCGCTCACTTTGTTAATCTGTTTTTGAGGTTTGTCCCTCAGGAACACTGACTGCAGAACAGTGCGCCATCTTTTCAAGTAATTATATTGCACTTATGGTCAAGGTCAGGGACCGATCGACGAATTGATTCCATTTGGTTCTGGCAGCCTGGTCCAGTGGGAGAAAACAGATTAAAATCTCTTGATGGCCGCACATTTGAGGCCTCCGGGCCAAACCGCAGATACAGTGATCGGCCTGCACATCTCTCTTTTGTGACTCTTTTATTTTCTTAGGCTGTTTAAAGGTGCCATAGAAGGAAAATCTAGATATACCTTTAGGCATAGTTGAATAACAAGACTTCAGTATATGGTAATGACATATGCCTCAAATGCCATTGTTTTCACGTTCTCATGTAAATCCAGTAAGTGTAAAAGACCTCTGAAAAACAGGCCAATAGGAGCAAAACATCAACTCTGGTGGTACTAATGAGGTCATTAATATGCATGCCCTAGCAGCGTTTGAGAGCGAGCAGACCATCCACAGAATGAGCCAGACTCAACCAAAGCCCCCTAAGGTGAGGAAGCCATCGGAGGAGGGAACCCTACCCTTTTAGTAGGGTTGTCAAAAGAATTGATTTCGGTGCCATTCAGTACTGAAGTGGAAAAAAAATAAACACGCCCATTTTCTGCTAGCATTTGAATGCATTCTTAAAAACAGCTGATTGGCCATCATGTTCACATGCTCAACGACTGTGATTGGCCATGAATGTCGTTGGTTTACCACTCCTCACTTCTGTTTACCAATGTGCAAACACAGATGCAGAGATAAAAACCCCTTTCACACATACAGTACAGACCTTTCCGGAAAATTGCTTGTAATTTTCCGGAAAGGATGTATGTGTGAACAGGCCCTTTTTAAAAATACTGGTAAATTTGTTCTAGCAATTTTCAGGAAAGAGAAGTTGTAACATTAACGGTAATTTGCCGGAATGCTGCGCTGTGTGAATGCAGAAGGAAGATTGCCGGAAAGAGCGCGTGCACGTCTAGAACGTGCTGACGTCTACTCCAGCCAATCAAAACAGTCAGACGCATTGACGTCTGCGCGGTTTATGAAAATAAAAGCCTTTGAATATTTTTCCAGACATCTTTAGCTGCTAGATGTTAGTCAGATAATGTTTATATGTTTTTTTCTTAATGCCAACGGTGTTAATAATTATCGATAATATGCTTATGATAAGCCGTTGTTTGTTTACCTTCAAGCTCTGCGTCGCGTGTGCCCATGAAGTAGCTGGTGAGCCAGCACACACACACACACACACACACACACATCATAAACATCTCGACATGCAGAAGTATTTGTTTCTCTTTATGTTTTCATCGAAGTTGTTCACAACACTGATCCATCCAGAGTTTGTAATGTAGTCAAACGTTTACAAATACAAGCCCAGCCGTTTAGCGCTCATTTCTGGTTAATGATGTCAGAATTTACCGGTATTTTGGAATGGATGCGTGAATGCTCTTTTCCGGAAAATTCCGTAACGTCCTCGCCTGTGTGAACAGCA